TGCTGACATGAGTGTGGCCCTCACGCTGACAGCAGACTCTGGACACCAGTCTGACATCAGACTAAATCTTATCACTTTAGTCTCTTAACAGTTTTAAAGATACTCTAGTATCTATAATTTACGACTACTTTTGTATCTTTCCAATTCCTGTAGTATATTTACAAATACTCTTGTATCTCCACAATTACTCTAATATCTTTACATTTACCGTTGTATCTGCACAATCACTGTCGTACCCACCAAAAGTTAACCCATTTTCTTCACAAGTTTCTAAGATGTGACAAATAAATATTCATTTCTAGCCCAAGATGACGTAGGAAGTGTCGCCATGTTGGGTGCTCGTATCAACACCTGAGAACAGGATCTTATAGCCCCGTTCACTCACCTGAAGCTTGCGGGTGTTGAGCTTCGGCTCCTTGGTCCCGCCGGGCAACAGTCAATGAGCCAGTTGGGACGGAAACTGGCGCTATATACCCCTCACCTTATAGTCTATATATGTCTGTATATACCTGAGACGGAAGGCTTCAAGTAACCTTCCTCCTCATAACACGGATATGAGGAGGAACACTTGTAAATATTTTACAAATTATTTACAATTTACGCGAGGCTGAGTGTAATATATTTAGTCCCTATGTAAATGCTTACCAATAATTACACGAACTTTTGATTCCCGTTTTTTGTTGTCGTTCTTCAAATATTAATTTATTTTTCCACAGATTTCTTCTCAAAATTACTTCTACCTACTTCCGTTTTGCTCTTAAAGTTCCCCGCAGTTTAATCTTAAATAAAGAACATTAAATTTGAAGACTTCTTCCTGAGCTTCTTATGAGAGTCAAAGTTATGAGAAATGCGAGTTTCTTGGGGCGTGTTTGAGCACCTTGGGGGCGTGTTTGAGCACCTTGGGTGCGGGTTTGAGCACCTTGGGTGCGTGTTTGAGCACCTTGGGTGCGGGTTTGAGCACCTTGGTGCGTGTGTGAGCGCCTTGGTGCGTGTGTGAGCGCCTCAGGGTGTGTGTGTGTGAACGCCTTTAGGCGTGTGAAACCTCGAGTGTATGAGGGTCTTGGAGCACATATGAGCTCCTTGGGCTTTGTGTGAGCGTCCTGTGCCGTGTGGGGAGCGGCTTGGGGGCTTTGTGAGCTCCTTGGGACAAGATTGAGTCTCTGGCTGTGGCTTGAGTCAGCGGTTTGATTTCGTCGACAGCAATACCCTATAGAATGGCAATTTGGGTGTTGAACAGTGTGGTTGTGCGTGTGGGCGGTGATGGCGCGGACAACAGATGTTCAGGAGAACCTGTCGAACTGCTTCTGAGACCTGAGCAGGTCTCAGTAGCCTGCATTCTGTTGACGACGACGACGGAGACGGAGAACTAGTACATGGTTATACTAGAACAGAGGGAACCTGTCTCATGGCACCGCGTGTGTGCGTGAGGGAAAGCGGTCGTATTGATAAGAGCTATATTAACCTTTCTCTCTCTCTCTTTCTCTTCCCTTTGGTCATCTCTGCCCCCCATAGGGGTGACATATGCCTCTGTGCTTACCGAAGAGTGTGTACGGGGGCGTGCAGTCTTGAGCGCTTCGTGCCCCCGCCTAACTAGCCTTGTTGCACCTCTTGCAATACAACCGAAAACTATTTTGACGCTCGAATTCTTTGTCGAGTCTGGCATTAAAGTTGTGGATGGAGGTGTTTGGTGGTAAGCCTCCCTCCACCTCGCCCACCTGCTGCCCGTGTTGTCTTGTTTCACGTCGGCTGGCTGGTGGTCTAGCATCCAAGAGCACCACCCTCTGGCCCCCTGGTCCTCCAGCCTGCCCCCCTGGTTCTCCAGCCTGCCCTCTGGTCCTCCAGCCTGCCCCCTGGTCCTCCAGCCTGCCCCCTGGTCCTCCAACCTGCCCCCTGGTCCTCCAGCCTGCCCCCTGGTCCTCCAGCCTGCCCCCTGGTCCTCCAGCCTGTCCCCTGGTCCTCCAACCTGCCCTCTGGTCCTCCAGCCTGCCCCCTGGTCCTCCAGCCTGCCCCTGGTCCTCCAACCTGCCCCCTGGTCCTCCAGCCTGCCCCCTGGTCCTCCAGCCTGCCCCCCGGTCCTCCATCCTGCCCCTGGTCCTCCAGCCTGTCCCCCCCCCCATGGTCCTCCAGCCTGGGCGCGATATCACTCTCCACTTTAATGGTCACGCCGGAACAAGTGCTGTTAAAGTTTTAAAAGTTTTTTCTCACGGTTGGGATTTTAGATTTTCCAGACGGTGGTCTTTAATGGTGTTTTGGTGTGTTTGTTACGCCGGGATTATCTGAGAGTTCTCCTCCACCTCACACCAGCCTCTCTTCATCCCCCGCCTCCATCTCTCCTCTATTATTCCCTTTTCAATATTTTGAGCCTCAACCCTTCTCCTCCCTCCCTCCATATCGAGGCTGCATCACTCTGCGAGCAAACGAATCTGACAAAATTTCCTCGCCGAGGTGTGGTGATGGTCGGTGGTGATGGGGGGGGGGGGATGGTGAGGAAGACCTCCCCGCCAGACAGGAGCTGCAGGGTCAAGGGGACGGGGAAGAGGCTTGATGTGGGGAGTCGGCTCCTTCGGGAGCAGAGAGGCACATGGTCCCATATAGACACAGGCTCCCCAGGCACACGAAGAGCCAGATAGGTAGACATACAAATAGAGAGAGAGAGAGAGACAGACAGACAGAAACAGAGACAGAGACCGACCGACCGACCGACCGACCGACCAACCACACACACATACATTCTCGCCTCTCAATAACCCAAGAAGGATAAACTAGGTTCCAGTCTTTATAACTGTTCGCCCCTGTTCAACCAGCACTAATTGTGAACCTGGTTGTAAACCGATTTTACAGGTCGTGTTACAGGGGAATAAAAACCTATAAAAGTTTTTAATGAGCTGTGGAGGAGGGGATCTCTCAGCCTGCTAGATGAGTCAGGAGGCGTCTACTGCACCCACCTCTGTACACGAAAAAAGAGAGCGAAGGAGAGATAAAGAAGGAAGGAAGGTGGTTGAGGTACAACAGAGGTGGCCCCGCTGCTGTAGAAGTGGCCCCGCTGCTGTAGAGGGGGCCAGTGCTGCTGTAGAGGTGGCCCCGCTGCTGTAGAGGTGGCCCCGCTGCTGTAGAGGGGGCCAGTGCTGCTGTAGAGGTGGCCAGTGCTGCTATAGAGGGGGGGGCCAGTGCTGCTGTAGAGGGGGCTAGTGCTGCTGTAGAGGTGGCCAGTGCTGCTATAGAGGGGGGGGCCAGTGCTGCTGTAGAGGGGGCCAGTGCTGCTGTAGAGGGGACCAGTGCTGTTGTAGAGGGGGCCAGTGCTGCTATAGAGGGGACCAGTGCTGTTGTAGAGGGGGCCAGTGCTGCTGTAGAGGGGACCAGTGCTGCTGTAGAGGGGTCCAGTGCTGCTGTAGAGGGGACCAGTGCTGCTGTAGAGGTGGCCCCGCTGCTGTAGAGGCGGCGTCAGACCCGCAGGTGGAGGGCCAGCTGTGCCATAACCCGCCCCTCTGGACGTGTATCACAATGCTCCAGGTCCCACCGTTTAGAGGTGGGCGGGGGATGGAAATTTAGTGGATTCCTCTTGCCGAGAAAAATGTTGTGTAGTCTCAGTAAATAAAATGTTGTTTTCAAAAACTTTGTAAGGAGCACGGGAGACCTATAGGCTGGATGGAGCTGGTATGTTGAACACACACACACACACACACACACACACACACACACACACACACACACACACACACACACACACACACACACACACACACACACACACACACACACACACACACACACACACACACACACACACACACACACACACACACGTACGTTTTTTAGTGTACGAGTCGTATGAAAATGAAATAAATTAATTGAGCCTGTTCTAGAAGAGATCTCCAGTTCATGATATCAATTGTAGATATAGTAAAAAAAAAATTAGGTCCGTGGTCATTGTATTAGACAACCGGCAGCTGGAAAGTCGGAGTCCAAGAGCTAAAATTCGATCCCACAAACACACACAGGTGAGAGCGTACACTCAAGCAAACAGCGACACGAACCAAACGTTTCCGTCACTCACCAAATTACTTCCTGGAAAACACGCAACAAATGTCTTCTGATATTTAAGAAGACTTTTGAGTGAATATTGAGTCAATATTTTTAATTATTATCTAACATCATCCTGGTTATTGGTATTAACAACCCTCGGTGATTATTGCTGTTGTTAGTACATCCAGGTTATGAGTTATGTTGTTTGTTGATTAGCTTATTAGGTGTGTAAACTGCAGTTTACAGTAGTGTGGTGGAGGAGCTCCGGGCGGCCCTCGTGAGTGATGGATTATTAACTCGCTTTTTAGTATTAAAAAACTAAATTATACACATAATAATATTTTTACAAATTATTATTGTATTATTATTATTTGTTTTTATTATTTATATAAAATAGAGTAAACTTTAATGTTCTTTTGAGTCTCTCCTTATTTCTTCCGTTCTCTTTTATTTTACATATCTGCACTATTACTGTATCTTTACTGCACGCTGTATAGAGCAGAGAAATATTACTGTGTTTGTATTCTCTGTAATATTACCTCTCTGTCTCTCTCTCTCTCTCTCTCTCTCTCTCTCTCTCTCTCTCTCTCTCTCTCTCTCTCTCTCTCTCTCTCCTCCTCGTCTCTCTCTCTCTCTCTCTCTCTCTCTCTCTCTCTCTCTCTCTCTCTCTCTCTCTCTCTCTCTCTCCTCTCTCTCTCTCTCTCTCTCTCCTCTCTCTCTCTCTCTCTCTCTCTCTCGTAACCCCCAACTACTTGGGCTGGACGGTAGAGCTACGGTCTTGCTTCATGCAGGTTGGCGTTCAATCCCCGACCGTCCAAGTGGTTGGGCACCATTCCTCCCCCCCCCCCCCGTCCCATCCCAAATCCTTATCATGACCTCCTTCCCAGTGCTATATAGTCGTAATGGCTTGGCGCTTTTCCCCTGATAGTTCCCTTCCTCTCTCGTAATAAGCTGATGTTATTCTGTTGCCTTTGCAGGGTCGGAGGTGTGCGGTGGAGGCGTGTGCTGTGTGCCGGCGGTGACGGAGGTGGTGAGGGAGGCTGGCCGTGCCTCCCTCAGTCAGGTGGTGAGAGCCACGGCTGACACCCTCCACGCCGCCCTCACCTCTCATCGTGACACCTTTTACGGTAAGTCGCTGTCCTCTCCCTCTCTGTCCTAAGGGCATCTTGCACGCTCCCACAGTCTCCATCTTCTGCGTGTCAAGCTGGGGCGTGTCAAGCTGGGGCGTGTCATGCTGGGGCGTGTCAAGCTGGGGCGTGTCAAGCTGGGGCGTGTCATGCTGGGGCGTGTCAAGCTGGTGCGTGTCAAGCTGGGGCGTGTCAAGCTGGGGCGTGTCAAGCTGGGGCGTGTCAAGTTGGGGCGTGTCAGGCTGGTGCGTGTCAGGCTGGTGCGTGTCAGACTGGTGCGTGTCAAGCAGGTGCGTGTCAAGCTGGGGCGTGTCAAGCTGGGGCGTGTCAAGCTGGTGCGTGTCAAGCTGGGGCGTGTCAATCTAGTGCCTGTCAAGTTGGTGCGTGTCATGTTGGTGCGTGTCAAGCTGGGGCGTGTCAAGCTGGGGCGTGTCAAGCTGGTGCGTGTCAAGCTGGTGCGTGTCAAGCTGGTGCGTGTCAAGCTGGTGCGTGTCAAGCTGGTGCGTGTCAAGCTGGTGCGTGTCAAGCTGGAGCGTGTCAAGCTGGGGCGTGTCAAGCTGGTGCGTGTCAAGCTGGGGCGCGTCAAGCTGGGGCGTGTCAAGCTGGGGCGTGTCAAGCTGGTGCGTGTCAAGCTGGTGCGTGTCAAGCTGGAGCGTGTCAAGCTGGGGCGTGTCAAGCTGGTGCGTGTCAAGCTGGGGCGCGTCAAGCTGGGGCGTGTCAAGCTGGGGCGTGTCAAGCTAATGTCAGTACTGTTCTTGTAAAATTGTAATTAAGGCATGGTCCCCAGGACTATGGCACACCTGTCATGGTCCCCAGGACTATGGCACACCTGGCATGGCCCCCCAGGACTATGGCACACCTGGCATGGCCCCCCAGGACTATGGCACACCTGGCATGGTCCCCAGGACTATGGCACACCTGGCATGGTCCCCCAGGACTATGGCACACCTGGCATGGTCCCCCAGGACTATGCCACACCTGGCATGGTCCCCCAGGACTATGCCACACCTGGCATGGTCCCCCAGGACTATGCCACACCTGGCATGGTCCCCCAGGACTATGGCACACCTGGCATGGTCCCCCAGGACTATGCCACACCTGCCATGATCACTGTTCCTGTGTGTGTGACAGAGCGGCTCACGGACCCTCGGCTACACTCCACTCGTCAGGGCTTTTATAGTCCTGACCCCTCACTCTTTTATTTACTTTTTTTGATAGGTCCTTGTGCTCGATCCCCTATTGACTCTGTATTACGGATTAACTCACCTTTTTTGTAGGGGTCTTTTGTGGTGGCTATTGTGTTTTTATGATGGTTTCTATATTGTTTATTTTCGTGGGTATTATGTTCCATTATGGTGGCTTTTATATATTGTTTCGTGGTGGCTTTTATGCTCTTTTTTTTGGTGCCTTTTATGCTCTTTTTTGGTGGCTTTTATGCTCTTTTTTGTGCCTTTTGTGGTGGCTTTTATGCTTGTTTTGTGGTATTTTTTATGCTCTTATCCTGACTTGCCTTATCCGGCTGGGCAAGTCTCGGTAAGGTAAGGCAGGACAAGGGAAAGCAGAGCAGGGCAGAGCAGGGCAGAGCAAGGCAGAGCAAGGCAGGGTAAAGCAGAAAAAGGCTAGTTTAGATACCCCTAAGGGGGGAGATCAGGCTGTTGTGCTTCTCTGGCGGTGTTGATGGTCTTGGTGTCAACGTGTACAGAACGTGAGCGGGCGTGCTTGTCTTAGTGTGCTTGGCGGCCTCTGGCTCCAGCGGCCTGGTGCTGGGCTGTGGCGCCTCAAGCAGGACTCGCTGTTATCTGCCTCCAGCAGCCTGGTGCTGGGCTGTGGCGCCTCAAGCAGGACTCGCTGTTATCTGCCTCCAGCGGCCTGGTGCTGGGCTGTGGCGCCTCAAGCAGGACTCGCTGTTATCTGGCTCCAGCGGCCTGGTGCTGGGCTGTGGCGCCTCAAGCAGGACTCGCTCTCTTATCAAAGTGTCCTCCGGGGCCACTATGGCTGTGGCAGCCTCGGTAGAGTGTGGCATAGGTTTCTTGGTCTCTGCTGCCACGAGTCTCTCCTCTCCGACTTGACAGGCAGCCGTCTGTTGCCACCTCACCTGTCTGTCACATTAGACAGCCTCGAGAACGGGTAAGTGGTAGTGGTGCGAGTTTGTGGTAAATCCTCAGTGTCTTACAAGTGCCTGTCGCACCTTGTTCGACGACGAGATGTCTGCTCGTGAGCCTCTCAGCTTGTTCTGGGACGACAAGGTGACCCTGGTGAACAAGAACACTGCTAGCACACTTTAGCAGCAATAATAACCTCCAGGCACAGCAGTAGTGCAGCCCGTCCTCGTAAGGTTTCCCAACGTCAAGAAAACGGTCAATTTAAAGTGTCCTCGCCTAACCTGCCAGAGGACCCAAAACAGAAAACGGGACAGTACGTCACTTTCGCCAGCCGCTTTCATTTTGTAGTAGGACAATTTTTGGCCTTAGATAACACATACGAGCGAAAGGCGACGTTCTTTGTAGGAGGACAGGTCGTAGGAGGACAGGATATAACCTCCGACGGGCATTGAGGAGCCGAGGGAGAGGTCCCGACGATGAGATAGATAGATAGATAGATAGATAGATAGATAGATAGATAGATAGATAGATAGATAGATAGATAGATAGATACAGATAGATACATAGAGAGAGAGAGAGAGAGAGAGAGAGAGAGAGAGAGAGAGAGAGAGAGAGAGAGAGAGAGAAAGAGAGAGAGAGAGAGAGAGAGAGAGAGAGAGAGAGAGAGAGAGAGAGAGAGAGAGAGAGAGAGAGAGAGAGAGACTGGGAGACTTGAACTTTAGTGGGATAGACTCCAGAGGGGAAGGGGGGAGCCATAGTCTTCCAGGCTCGTGGAACGACACGACCAGAGTTATGGAACAGAAGGGTGTGATGAAAGGGGGTGAGAGGCTAGGAGGAAGAGAACCAGGCCCCTCCCTCCCTTCCTTCCTGGCTGTGGAGGGGGGGGGGAAGGGGGGTTGTCACTATACTGTAGTTACGGGGGGCGTATCAGTGTGTAGAGGGAGCAGGGGAGGGGGATGGATATGATGGAGAGGGATAGGATGGAGGTGATGGAGGGGCGTGGGCCGGGTGATGAAGGTGACACACGCCGCCATGCGGGTGTCACCCACGCCGCCATGCGGGTGTCACCCACGCCTTTCCTCTGTCTCTGTCCTGGTGTATACGCGGGTCTGGTTGTACTCACCTAGTTGTGCTTGCGGGGGTTGAGCTCTGGCTCTTTCGCCCCGCCTCTCAACTGTCAATCAATCAACTGATTTTCACACACACACACACACACACACACACACACACACACACACACACACACACACACACACACACACACACACACACACACACACACACACACACACACACACACACACTGGTTGACAAATGGAATGCATTAGGAAGTGATGTGGTGGAGGCAGACTCCATACACACTTTCAAATGTAGATATGATCTACATTTCTCTTTCCCCGCCTCTCAACCGTCACTTGACTGACGGTTGAGAGGCGGGGCCAAAGAACCAGAGCTCAACCCCCGCAAGCACAACTAGGTGAGTACACACACACACACAGACACTCCCAGTCTGGCAAGTAGGCAAGACTTATCGCGACGAAGTACATTTTTAACCACTGGTAGCTTTATGACACAGCTAAAAGCTCCCACCCGCATGCTCGTTCCTGCACAGTCTTAGGTTGCACAGTCTTTCTTTTATTAGCGAGAATTGGTGGTTTCCTGGGCTACTTATCTTACATGTCGCGATCATGTGTCCGCCGTGCTCCGTGGTTATCTGTGATGGCGAGCGTTGATGACTGTTTGTGAGAGTTGAGCGAGTGTGGTAGGATTATTGGTGAGAGTTAATGGTGTTGATGAATGTTGACAATTATTGTTAAATGTTGGTGAAGTGTTGGAGAAGTGTGGATGAGTGTTGGAGTGTTAAGAGTGTGTTAGAGGGGGGGAGCGTGGTGGATGTTGATACGAATGTTGAACAAATTCTCTTGCTAATGTTCCCTGCACTTCCTTGCGAGTGTGTGCTCATCTAGGAGTGTTTTAGAGGTTGAGCCTCAACTCCTGGATTCCACCTCTCTCCAGTCGTGTAGTGTAACGACTTTTGTTCTCTAAGCTACATTTGGAGACATATAAACCTGACCATTTCCCTGCCTAGTTCGTTCCAGTTATTACTGGGACACTGAAATAAACCTGTTCAGTATTGGTGTTGCACACTGAGACACTGAGTTACCGGCGGTGTGTTCGTCTACCTCCCAAGTCAAGCGGTCTGTCTCTGCCTCCTGAATTATGTGGAGTATTTTGTATGTTGTGATTAATTCCTGTTCCTCCCTGCAGTGATCGTCCCTGTTTGTTTTATGTTTCAGTGTCGAGTGTGTGTGTGTACTCACCTAGTTGTGCTTGTGGGGGTTTAGCTCTGGCTCTTTGGTCCCGCCTCTCAACTGTTTCTACTACTATTTTTTTTCCACACCACACACCCCCCAGAAAGCAGCCCGTGACAGCTGACTAACTCCCAGGTACCTATTTACTGCTAGGTAACAGGGGCATAGGGTGAAAGAAACTCTGCTCATCGTTTCTCGCCGGCGCCCGGGATTGAACCCGGGACCACAGGATCACGTGTACAGCTCGCTGTCCGCTCGGCCACCGGCTTTGTAGTGTGTGTGTGGGGGGGCGGCTATTCAGTGTAGAGAAAGAGGCTGATGGAGCGGGTGGAGTAAGCCTGGCTACCTCTGGAAGTAGGCAACACTTACCGCGACGAAGTACATTTTTAACCACTGGTAGCTTTATGACTCAGCTTAAAGCTCCTGCGTGTGAGCTTAAAGTACATTAAGCCTTCCCAAATGTCGAGCTTACAGCCAAGTTAAAGCATTTTAGTAGCAATAACCGGAGAGGCCGCACTTGGGGCTGCCTCGGGCCTTCCCTGTAGCCTGAACTTACAACAAAGAACGTTGCTTGTCGTATAGCTCC